ACACACAGGAGGCAGGGATGGGGAATCTGCTCATAAGCCGATGCCTCACAGAGGGTGACCTGAAGCTCCCTCCTGGGATACATTGCTCTTGCTCCTACACAAGGTGCTCATTCCTTCCTGTGTCCTAGAGGCCTGACTTCCTCTCTCTGTATGTTCTGCAGCACAGCCTTGTGGGAATTTCCCTGCTTTAGGGTCAGGCTGGCCTTTGTTCGATTCCAGCACCAGAGTCATTCTTCTTCTCTAAATGGGAGTGACAGTAGACTTCTCTCATGGAGAAGCCAAGGATTAAATGGTGCAAGTTTTGTGCGGCTTGTAGCCCAGCACCCAGCACAGTGACCCTGGGATAAATGTGATTATCTTGGTCCTGGCACCTTACTACATTGTTATATGATGACTTGACTGTGTGCTTGTCCCTCACTACCCCAGACCAGGAACACAATGAGGCTGGGAGCTGTGTCTCATAGACTTTGGTGTCTCCAAGTGGCCACCTCAGACCTTGAGTAGAAAAGATGCTCCTGAAGGCTTTGGATGGACATGGAAATGGCAGTAGTTTGGCAGGCAGAATGCCGAAACCCCTTGCTGTCACAGAAAGCAGCTAGGTACTAGCTCACATAAGGTGGAGCCCACAGGCATGAGCTGCACTCCACAGACTTCCTGCCTCTGCCCTCCTTTAGCTGGGGTGCCCAAGCAGTGGAGCTGGGCAGCTCAGGATCTCCAGTTCTCTGGCTTACTTTACATACCAGCCACCTCTGTTCCATTTAGCCTCACCTCACCTGCCTGCACTTGCATAGGGCCACAGGTTCAAACATAGGACTGGGGTGGGAATCGGGTCAAAATGTGGTGACCTGTCTTTCTAGCTGGATAAATATTACACCCAGGTAGTGCTGATATCAGCTTCTGGAGGTTGAGGACGACAGGTGGCAATCTCTGTCCATGGTCCTGCCGGGGGTAGGTGTGGTTAGTGGGGGGGCGGTGAATGTGGATGCTGAAGACAATGTGCTTATCTGGATTTATCTGGAGACAGATCCTGTCTCAGAAGATTGGATTGGATGAATACAGAGGAATGATTAGGGACAACAGTCGCTGCCCACTCCAAGCCTCCCAAAGCATGCAGAATAAGGTGGATGGAGACTGCTTGTAACACAGGAAGAAGACTGGGCCTGATACAGGGGAGTGGTACAGGCTTTTGGTACAGAGTAGAGATGGCGAGGGATGCTCTTGCTCTCTGTGTGAACCAGCCTCTCCTTCGATGTGCTGTTCTGTGGGTCTCTCCCTCCACTCGTGGGCCGTTGGCACTGATCCATGAGGACAAAGGGAGCAGAAGCGACAAACGGGGTTAGGACAGCCAGTGAGCACGATGGAAAAGACCTTCCGGGGAGTCAGATTCAGTGATACAGCTCCGTTTATTCAGTGGGGGTCAAGGAAAAATATAGTGTAGAGGCAGCAGCCAAAGCTTTAGCTGATAGGTGCTCCTAGTATTCTTTATTTACATGTGGTGGGGGGATCCTATCATCTGGCTATAGGGCAGTGCCTAATTATCACATAGAAAAAAACCTAGGGGAAGTTTTATTGCAGGTAACTATGCCAAAGGCCATGTTCCAGATAAGGACAGGCATCTGTGCTTGGAGGCACTTTCCAGGTAGGTCAGGCAGAGAATAGGAGGCCCCCGCTGAGAAAGGGAGTCCTTCCATATAGCGCCTAGAGCTATCCAGACATGGTGGACTGCAACCTTAGCAGCAGGGTCCCCCAACAGTGTTCTGTTCCAACAATCACATTTTAGGGTGCACATTTCCAACTTGTCAGAGGGATGGCAGTTAGGATGATGGGATGACTCATTTGCATAAACAATGGTAGGAGAGATTTGGCTTGGGGAAGAGAGAGATGCTGAGGTCGTGATAGTGGTGATACCTAAAGGGCTCCCTGTGGGGGGGCTCAGACCCATTTGTTCTATGTACCTATAATGCAGCACTGTCCAGTAGAATTTTCTGCAGGGGAACTGCTGTTTTATACATGTGCTGTTTAATAGTTATCAGGTTACCACAATTTTGTGTGTGCACATGTTTATATGTGTGTTTGCATGTGTATCTGGAAGCCAAAGGTTGGCTTAGAGTGTCTTCCTCAATTACTCTCCACTCTAGTTTTTATGTAATTTATTCATTATATGTATGAGTTGTCTGCATGAATATACATGCACCCATGTTGTACAATATCTGCCAAGGCTTGAAGACAGTGTCAGATCCCCTGGAACTGGAGTTACAAATGTTTGTTAGCTGCCATGTGGATGCTGGGAACTGAACCTGGGTCCTCTGGAAGAACAGCCAGTGCTCTTAACTGCTGAGCCATCTCTCCAGCTTCTCCACTTTGTTTTGAAGTTTTTTTTTTTTTTTTTTTTTTTTTTTGACAGGGTCTCTCATCGTCCTAGTTGACGTGAAACTCACCATATAGACCAGGCTGGCCTCGATCTCACAGAGATCCCCTGCCTCTGCCTCCTGAGTGCTGGGAGGTGTGTGCCACCACGCCTTTATATTTTGAGACAGGATCACTCATTGAACTTGAAGCTCACGGATTCTGCTAGGCTGGCTGGTAAACAAGCCTCATGAACCCTCCTTTCTCTGCCTCCCCAGTGCTGGGATTACAAATCTTCCTGACAGGTTTTACATGGGTACTAGGACTCAAACTCAGATCCTCATGCCTACGTGGTAAACACTTACCAACTCAGCCATTTCTCCAGCCCCCTGCTGTGGGTTTTTTGTCAGTTAACATATAACTATAGACTAAATTTTAAACTTAATACAGATTTAAACCTAAGTAGCCACATGTGGTCAGTGGCCACTGTATAGACACCACCTTTCTGGAGGACAAATAGAAAAAAAAAACAGGATTCAGCAAGTTTTCTCCCAAATGCAAGATGGTGCATATTTTGGCCTTTGGAGACCAGTCTGTCTCACTTCTACCTCAGGAGCTACAAAATCCATATAGAGATAGAAGAATGGACACAACTAGGCACCAGTAAAACTATCCATGCATACCAACATTTGAATGCAGCATATTTTTACATGTCACAGAGTAATATTCTTTTGATGATATTTTTCAACTCTTTAAAATGTGAAATTCATTCTTAGCCCACAGGTTATAGGAGAGTGGGTGGCTGGCTGGACTGTCCTGGCTGTGGTTTGCTGCACTGGACTTGGTGGTGGATGGGAAGCATAGATCAGTAAGGATGATCAGCTCAAGTGAACCAGCACTGGAATGAGCATTCCTGGGCAGTCCTGGCCAGATAACTAACTATCCAGGAAGGTTGGTGTGGAAATGCCCATTTAGAGCAAGTTGTACTAGAATTTTCTTCCAATTCCCCAGATTTGCTGAAGACAGACTGGCTTACAACTGTGGTGAAATCACTGCTTTGCAGGACAAAGTCACTCTCTTACTCCCAGTGTCATGTGACTGGGTTCAGGACTCTCTGGGTGCTAAACTGGCATTCTTGCTTTACCAGTTCTGCCACATATTCATTCAGGGATCCCTGGGTTGTGCCTTAGTGGGGAATTGTTTATGTCTCTTTATGCTCAGTAGGTTTCCTTACTGTGACAAAATACCTGAGACAATTTATAAGAAGGAAAGTTTTGTGTTAGCTCATGATGTCAGAGATTTAAGCCCGTGGTTACATGGCCTGATGCCTTTGAGCCTGTGGTGAGGCAGAACATCATGGAGGGAGCATAGTGGTGGAGGAGGCTTGTTCATGTCTTCACTTCATAGTGGCCAGGAAAGAAAAAACAAAGACCTAACTCCACTATGTCCCGACTCTTCCTAATAGTGCAATGGGCAGGGTAGCATGCTTGCTTGACAAGCATGAAGCCCTTAGTTCCATCTGCAACATTGCATGAATCAGGTGGTGTGGTGCATGTCTGTAATCTCAACAATTAGGAGATGGAGGCAGGAGTACCAGAAGTTCAAGGTTACCCTCAGCTATATAGTCAGTTCAAAGCCAGCCCAGGATACATGGGGCCCTGTCTCAAAAGAGAACCACCATCCCCCCTCCCCCCCAAAAAAAACAAGCTAAAGCAAACCAACCAACAACCAACCAAAGGAGCAAACAAAATAAACCCAAAACAATAGTTCCATGGGCTGGGGACCAAGCTTTCCATACATGGGCCTTCAGAGCCCATTCAGCATTCAAACTTCAAGTAATAGAGGTTTTGCTGAGAGTACTCAGAGCCTCCCCAGTAAGACAGGATGGTCTCTGGCCAAACAGCACTTTGTTCTGTCATTTAGTGCCCCGCAACAGACAGGGTGTTAGGACAAGGGATTAAGCGTCCTCACTCTCATTTGGTGCCTTTGGTGGATGGACCATGCCTCATCCTGTGATTGCACAGTGTCCCCTTCCTATCCTCCCCTCCTGACCAACGAGGAACCATAGATCCCTGTGGAGCTGGGAGGCTGTATCTGGAGGAACCTCTGGGCCGGAGTCTGCAGACTTAGGCCTGGCCTGCCTGTGAACTCCAACCTGGCCTGTGCACATCTAGAGATGTGATTGTTTTGCTTCATGACAACTCAGCTTCCTTTCCCCCCTTTTCTCCTGACATCTATCCATGTACTTCCAATCAGCTTCTCTGACAAAACAGCAACAACAAATGCAAACAAAAGAATTGCACTTCAAGTCAGAGAAGAAGCTTAAAAGCACTGGTTGGAAGTTTTGCATTTTTGTGCCTTTATCAAGTTCACAACCTGCCTCCACCACTGCACTCTCTTTACATCTTTGTACAGGTTGCACAAGGAATAGAAGATGTTTAACAAAAGCTACTTGGGAAGTTTTGAGGCAAACACAGTAGACAGTAAACCCATGTGCCCATCACTAGTTTTGATAGTGGCCAGATTCTGGCCAGCCATGTGGCCTCCACCTTGCCCCTCCTCCTGTAATATCTGGAGGCAGAGCTGTACGAAGCTTTTGGTAGTTGCACCAACCCCCTGTGCACAGCATCCTAATTGTGTGTGTTCTGTTGCAGATAATCGCCTTCGATGAGTTAAGGACGGATTTTAAGAGTCCCATAGACCAGTGCAACCCTGTTCATGCGGTAAGTATTGGTGCTCATGATGTCCATGATGGGCAGGTGGTGTCCTCACAGGTCCTCCAGCTTGTGGAGGATAGTGAGGGTTCAAAAGAGCAGAATGAGGAAGATCATGCTGTCCTGACTCTGCCTCTATGCCTTGCTGATAGTTATTGTGGAACCTTCTTGCTCTTGGGGCCTACTGGGCTCTTGTAATACTTTGCCAAGTGTGGCCGTCTCTGTAGCCTGGGGGAGAGGTCTGCTGCATCCTGCTGCAGATGATTTTTGATTCCTTGCCTATAACCAGAGAGAGAGAGACTCCATGTTTGCCAGCATGATTGTGGTATGTGCAAGTACCATGTGTGGCCTCACTCTGCATGTGGCAGTTGACTGAGTTTCTTATGGAGGATGGATGGATGGATGAAGCCCCAGGTACATCTCCATTACATGGGGCCTGTGGTCAGCTTGCTGCCTACCAGGGAATATGATGCAGTCTGGTTGGTGTGCTCTGGGTTCAGCCTCTAGAAATCAGATCTAGAACCACCCCCCCCATCTCCAAAGCTTGCCTTCTGACCACCAACTCAATGCAGTCCTTGAAGAGACTTGTTTTTATCATATCTGAGCCCCCTCTTTGGCACAATAGTCTTTGAGTCTATGAGTCTACGTAGAAGCAATTATTTTCAAAGTCAGCTATGTAAAGCCATCTGGGTTAGTTGAAAGTACCCTTAAGATCCACTTGAAAGATTAGTATATATCATAAAAGTTATAATTTTTTTATTTATTTTTATTCTATGTGTATGAGTGCACCTGTGTCATGAAATGCCCGAGGAGGACAGAAGAAGGCATCAGATCCCTGGAACTGGAGTTACAGACGGTTGTTAGTCACCATGTAGGTGCTGGGATTTGAACCCAGGTCCTCTGCAAGAGCAGCCAGTGTTCTTAATCACTGAGCCATCTCTCCAGCTCTGTAGTTATCATTTAAAAAACCCGTTTTATTCTTCACTGCCAGCCTTACCATCCACCTATGATAACTTGGCTCTGTCAGGCTGGAATGGGTTTTGCCCAGGAGCTCCTGTCTGCCTGAACATTCTGGGTTTGGCACCAACAGCACACACCTGGCTTGTCAGTGCCCACAGGTGCACAGAGTGATTCTGAGCCTGTTCCCAGCTCACCATGGTGAGTCCTTTAGTTTAGGTATTGAATTAGAACTAGCATAGCCCGACTCAGGGCTTCTGGGAAAGGCCAGTGCAGGGACAGAACAGGCATGAGGGAACATCCAGTAAGTGCTTGTTGAAAACAGGATACTAAAGGATGAAGGCATAGAGCTAGAAGCTGGACCTCCTTACCCTGGTGCTGGGGTGGAGCCCCAGCCCTTACATGCTCCAGGGGAAAGCTTTACCACTGAGCTACATCCCCAGCCCTATTTTTGTTAAACTCTTTATTACATCAACTCTTCTAATTAGTTAACAAATTAATTAAGGAGCCAGGTCCTGTGAAACCCAGGCATCTGTGGACAGACCAATGTGCCCCTGGGGAAGAGGGATTAAAAACAAAAAAAACTTAAAAGCTCTAATTAGGCGAGCATGTAGACATTATGAGTTGCCCATTTTTCCTGTTGTCAGGATGCTACTCCCTGGTAGGGAGCAAAACACTTCAGCTCCCCCATTAACTGTCTCCAGCCCTTCAGCCTCTGTGCAGCTCCCAGAGCAGAATTTCAGCCTCTGAAGCTTGAGAACAGGCTTCACTGGTTGATGACCCTGGCCCTAGAGGAACTTGGGTCCCAAGTACTTGATGACTCTATGACGCACTTTTCAGTGAGGGCACGAGACCCATTTGAACTTTCTTGTCTTTCCTTTCCTTTTTCCTCCCCCCTCCTCTCCTCCCCTCTTCTCTCCTCCCCCATCATCCCCTCCGATCTCCTCCCCTCCCCTCCCCTCCCCTTCCTCCTTTCCCTACCTTTCTGGCAGTGGTAGGGATGGGACCCAGGTCTTTGAGCATGCTAGGGAAGCCATCTACCACTGACCTACACACTCTGCTCCACTTAGATCTAAGATGTCCTAAAGCATCAAATATTGTTGGACCTTTGGGTGGTCCCCTTCCTTTGCCAACCTCCACTGGGCAGTCTCTCTTACAGGATAGTATCATTGAGCAAGGCTCTGGCTTGCTCAAAGATGTGTGTGCATCATCCCTCATGTGTGAAACCTGTCTTCTCTGCCTCATGGGTATTAACTCATCCTGATGTGCTCCTTCCTCTGGGCTAATGGACTATACAGGGATTACTGCATTTATGATTCAATTAGGGAAACTGAAGTGTCCCAGCCACCTGTCCTCTCATGACCCACAATGAAACTCATTACAATTATGTCAACAGCAACCAAATTGCCTCAGTAAATGAAGCACCAGAAGTGCCACAGCTGTGTTCAGTGTGGCTCAGAGGTCTTGACAGTTATAGCAGAGGAAGGAAGCTGGGACATTCAGCGTCCTCTGTGGGCAGCACCACCTGTCCAGCTTTACAACGTCTTCCCCTGGAAATGAGCCAGGCTTTGAAGATAGGCTTGACTTTTAGAAAAGTCCTAGCCTGGGGCACAGTTGGTGGCTGACTTTGTGGAGGACTTGCCTCCTCTAAGTATACTCGCATAGAAAAGGCAAAGCAAGGCGGTAGGCACCAATGAGGATGCAAGCTTCTTGCTCTTTTCTATCCAGTGAGGGGTTCTCATGAGCCTGAGATGCCCTGTGAGCATATGATGTCCACTCCGCTGCCAGAGCATCTGGTGTGTGCGCATGGAGGCTTTCCCTGTAAGAGAGTGAATGCTGGGTAGGGAAAGGCATGCTGCTTGCCAGGAGAGTTCATATATATGTGTATGTGTATGTGTATATATATATATATATATACTGTTTGTGTGTGTGTATGTGTGTACAAATGTGAGTGGACGTGCACATGTGTACACTTGTGTGGAGGCTAGAGGTTAACGTTATGTCTTCGTCAATTACTCTCATCATCATCATCATTTCGTTATTGTTGTTGTTTGAGATAGGGTCTCCCTGTAGCCCCAGTTGGTCTGGAGCTTGCTTTGTAGACCAGGCTGACCTCAATCTCATAGAGATCTGCCTGCTTCTGCCTCTATCTCCCGAGTGCTGGGATCAAGGGTATGCGCCACCATGCCCAGCCTTATTAATTTCTTTTAAGACGAAGGTCTCACTCTGAACCTGAAGCTTATAGGCTAGACTGGTTGGTTAGCAAGCCCTAAGGATCCTTCTGGCTTCACAGCACTGAGTTACAGGTATATGCATCTACATCCGGCTTTTATGTAGGTCCTGGGATCTGAACTCAGGTCCTTTTGCATGCATGGCAAGCATTTCCCCCCTGAACCATCTCCCCAGCTTCTTAGCAGAGCTACTTTTAAAAAATTTATTTTTATTTTTATTTATGTGTATGTGTCCGTGTGTGTTCGTATGTGCATGTGCGTGTGGGTGCCCATGGAGGCCAGAAGAGGTAGCCAGAGTCCCTGAAACTGCAGTTACAGGTGGTGGCAAGCCATGTAACAGGAGTGCTGCACATTGAACTTGGACCTCTGGAAGAGCAGCAAGTGCTAGCCATCCTTCCAGCCCCAGGGGCCTTACTTTTATGAGTAAATGGCCTACAGACATGGTGGCTCATGCCTGAAATACTAGCATGTGAGAGGCTGAGGCAGGAGAATTGCCATGAGTTTGAGGACCACCTGGGCTACCTGATGAATTCCAAGCTAGCCTTGGCTACAGAGTAAGAACCTGTCTCCGAAAACTGTTAGAACGAAAGAACAAAAAGTGAATGGCTTTGATGAGGTAAAGGGAAGAGGGGCAGGAAACTCCTAGAGAAAGCCACTGGCTGGACGCTACTGGCATGTCCCTGGGGGCGGGTCTCTGGTGGGCTCTGCTTCCTCTATTGGAGTGGGTTCTGGGCTTCTCACTCTCAGCAGACCCCTAACCTCCCGTCTTCTTTCTTTCCTGTGCATCCTCAGAGGGAGCGGCTGAGGAACATCGAGCGCATCTGCTTCCTTCTGAGAAAGGTCAGAGGGCACTCCAGTGTGCGGAGGGAGGGTCACAGGGAAAGGTGTCCTGGAGGTGAATGGCAGCAGGGAGGGCAAGGTGGGAGCAGGCAAGCAGGCATCAGTTCTTTGGAAACCTCCAGAGGCAAGGCGAGCTAATTACAGGCGGTGACCATCAATCACGTGTCAGGAAGACACTGGCTATTTCAAGTGCCCTCTGGTTGGATTTGCAGGATTTTTTATTTTCACATGATGATGAATGGCATTTACAGCTGTCCCCTCCCCCCCGCCCAGTCTTTGTTCCTGTCTGGTGCTGGGCTCAGGATTTTAATAACACCTCTTGATTCAGGGATGTGTTTTAACTGGATGCTGAGTGTCCTTTGAGATTTCAACCTGTCACTCAGTTTTGCAATTTGGTCTGCAGAATCACTGGGAGTGTTGGAGGTGTGGGACAGTGAGGCGCCATTCAAGGGGGAGTGTTGTTGAGTGGAGGGTGGTAGACCATAGCTGTCCTAAGCCCTTTCAGAGCATATAAGTGTGTGTGTCACTCAGGCTGGGCGTATGGTACAGTCCGTTTGTAGACTCCATCCTTCTCCATCAGGAAAATGTTTTGACAAAGCTTAGAGAACAGGACAGATGAAATAAGAAATGTCCATGGCCTAGAGCCAAAGGCTATTCCTGACCTCAGTACAGAGTGTAGGGTACAGGCCTTAGGAAAGCCACTTGTCAGCCCAAATACAGCCTTTTGAGTGTTGTATGATTATAAGAGAAACTAAGCCCCACACCAACACTAAAAGAAGGGAAACAATTTTGCGGAAGTTTTGAAGTTTTATGTGTATTTCATTGGGGGAGAGAGCTTAATCCAGAAGTCAATCATTTCCCTGGCTGATTACATGTCCTTTAATGTTTTCTAAGAAACCCAGTATGCTAGAATTCCATATCTTTCTTGTCCCAGCAGGGAAGTGTGCTCTGATAAGACATGCATTTGAAAATGCTAGTGATCTAAGGAATAAAGAATTATTAAGAAAACAGCATATAATTTGCATCACAAATATGCAAATTGCTTTCTATACCCATAACCCACTCCAGCCATCAATTCCATAGTCTCTGGTTTAGTCTTTAAGATAACATATACAGCCAGGTGTGGTGGCACACACCTTTATTCCCAAAACTCAGAAGGCAGAGGCAGGAGAGGGGTCTCTATGAGATAGAGGCCAGCCTGGTCTATATAATTCCAGGCCAGCTGGGGCTACAGGGAACCCCTGTCTCAAAAAGACCAAAACAAAAAAAAGATAATACCTAAGTATCATAGAACAAGACAAAAATCAAAGTACTATGTCTCAGAGTCCAAGTTGCCCCCACTCTCATCCATAATACATTGCTCTATGTTCCCTAGCATGGGATCATCCACATTCAGGGCCCCTTAGTATTGATCATCTTTCTGTTGCCTGACCCCAGACTAGCCAGACAGGAGACAATGACCTGCAGTGGCCTCTGTCAGGGTCTTGCTGCCCACAGCCTAAAGTCCTAGACCTTTCCAAGATCAGAGCAAGGATTTGAAGTAAGCAAGCTATGCAAGAATTAGCATTGATATTCGCAAATCTGCATATGGTTTGCATATGCTTCTATAAGCAGTAGACCTAAGCACCTGAGAATTTTGCTTAGGAAATATTGTACTCCAAGTACCTTTTTTCTGTTTTTTGCCCTTTTCATTTACTCCTTCCCCCCCTGGCTGCTGCCTCTGCTGCTTCCATGGTGTTAAACACAATTGCTGTACCCTGTGGTGGGCAACATCAGGGAAGACAGCCAAGATAGACATCAGTGGGCAGGAACACTGACCTGAAAGCTTCAGGCACTGTCGCTGTGTGAGACCATTTTCCTGTGGCCTCAAGGTTCTCTGGCTTCCATGGAGCAGCCAGCACCCCTGAGCTAACAAGGCAGATACCAACCAGGTGCCTTCGACTTTATGCCTTCTAGAAGTCTCTGTCTGTCTGCCTAGCATGTGACCATTTGTTCTTTGTCTCTGTGTCTGCCTGCCATGGATATCCAAGATCATTTCCATTGGGGTCAGCACAGCATGATTTCATTCTGAGTATAATTTCAAGTTGTTCAGACGTCTGCATGCCTGGCTGTTGGGAGCTTGCTTGCTGTTGCTCACATATTCTTTTGCTTAATTTAGTAATTCCCTGGACTGTGTTCTCACAGATGTGTTAGGGCACGAGGTCCGTTTCTGCCACTAGGATGCCAACTCTGGAAGGTCAGTGATATTCAGGTGACTGTCAGGCATAGTGATACTGAATGAAGGGCAGTGTGGAGCCTGTTGAAGGTGCTGACTGCATGGTTGTTAAGTGAACAAATAACTGCTGTTTTGGCCCTTCTTACTGGGAACAGTAACCTACTCAACTCTTCATTTCAGGGGTGCCAGGACAACACCAAATGCCCATGATGCCCTTGCCCCTTGATACAGCATGCATTTAGTTAATTAATTAATTTGTGTGTGTGTGTGTGTGTGTGTGTATGTGTATGTGTGCATGAGCGCGCTGTATGTGGCAGGATCTCATGTAGCTCAGGCTGGTCTTTTTGTAAAAGACTTATTTACTTATTATTTTTATGTATATGCATATGTGCCTGAGTATATGTGTATATACCACATGCATGCAGGAGCCCTCAGAGGTCAGAAGAATGTGTCCAATCACCTTGAACTAGAGTTATAGGTAGTTGTGAGCCACCATGTATATGGGTGCTGGGAACCAAACCTGGGTCCCCTGTAAGAGCAGTAAGCATTCTTAACCAATGAGCCATTTCTCCATCAAGCTGGTCTTGAACTCACTATGTAGTCAAGGCTGGCCTAGAACTCCTGAGCCTCCTGCATCTACCTCCCAAGTGCTGGGAGTACCAGTGTGTGCCTCCATGCCCACCTGGGCTGTATTTTAAAATGAAAGCTAACCCCACTCCATTCTCATTTTTAACTTGGAAGACCTGTGCCCTGTATCTTCTCTGGTTCCTTCTTCTTTGTTCATACCCTATCTGTGGTCAGTATTTAATCCCCCCAGTATCCACTCCGGCCAATTCCAGGTCCTTCAGAATTGAAGAGTAGTAAGTGATGTATGCAGACATCTGCCTGTGCCTTACAAATGCCTTAGCATTTGTATAACCCATGAGCTGTGTTTCAGGATCTCTCTCTCTCTCTCTCTCTCTCTCTCTCTCTCTCTCTCTCTCTCTCTCTCTAGTACTAGGTATTAAACCTTGGGCCTCATGTATGTGAAACAAGTACTCTACCACTGAACTATATCCCCAAGCCTCAGGGTAATTCTTAAAAGTGAGTGGAATAGGTCTGGAGAGATGGCTCAGCAGTTAAGAACACTGACTACTCTTGCAGAGGATCCAGGTTCGATTCCCAGCACCCACATGGCAGCTACGAACCATCCTTGACTCCAGTTCCAGGGGAATTCAAAGCCCTCTTCTGACCTCCATGGCATTGCACAACACAGGTACACTCACATACAGGCAGGCAATACACTCATACACATAAAATAAAAATAATAAAAAAAATATTTTTAAAAAGTGAGTGAAACAATTGCATTTCATCCTCATGGAGTTAGTTATCCTAAGAATTTAAATGAGATAATACATGCATGTAGCTCACATGTACTCAACACACGTTAAATGTCATTCTTAGCAACCTGCCCCCTCACTTCTCCTTCCTAACATCACCATGGACACACATGCTGAGATGCTCCTTGGATGGTGGCATCTTCCCATCTTCTTAGATAAGTGCCGCTTGATGTTTTGGACACAAGCTTGTCAACAGAGATGGTACAGCCTGGGCCCCTCGCTCCTGTTGCTCTGATTTGGAATTGGCTGACTTCAGGTTTCCAAGCGATGAGCACATGTTAGGGATGGTGTGAAGGGCCTGTGGGTCTAGTTAGCATCACCGCCTTCTGGGAACTGAACCTTCCAAGAAATTTCTTGGAACTCATCTCCCAAACAGCTCAGAATGTGATGCATCTCAGAGGCTGATTATTGTTAAGCCACTTGGCGTTCTCAGGAGAAAAGAAGGGATTTTTCAAAGTGGATCCATTTTTAACTCTATAATTATCAGAAAGTGTGTTCTTTGGGTAACTGTCTGAATTGCAGGGTACTGGTGTTGGCTTGTGCTTGATTCATGTTTCATGGCAAGAGCCTCTGGCTCCTTGCGTGGCCCTCTCCGCCCAGTGTGTAGTGGGCTCTGTGGGCTGTTTTGCATTCTGTTTTTGAGAGATGCATCATGGAACACTCAGGCACACTCAAGCTTCTCATGGGGTTGGGGGGGGCGGTGGGTGGGACTCAGGTTGGGGAGGTGTGGCTAGTCCCCAGGGAAGGGATTTAAGTAAGAACCAAACAAGATGGGGATAAAGAGGAAGTTACTTCATCAGCAGTGATGGTCAGACCTCAGGGATGGTGGTCCTAAGGGCTTTTTTGGCTGTTAGAGATGCTTATGTTATGAGATGATTGCGAGTTTGTCTGTGCTTGCCCAAGGTGGTGAACTTGGCTGCCTAGTTTGGAGCATCCCTCTGGTTTAACAAGTCTAGAATTCTCCAGTTCATGTCCCAGTTTCTCCGAGTGTGTGCAGTTCCACTGCAGGCTTTTTGTGGCGTTCAATAGAAGCAGCTTCTGTGGATGGACAATTTCTATCCTCCTTCTGAGCTTTCTCACTGAGACGGGCAGTGGGTGGGGCTTGGGAAGCAGCATGCTGATTTCACTGTGTGGGGAGGTTGAGGGGTCAAGTGCTCAGGAAGGATCACAGAGGCAGTAAGACGCAGATCCTCCCACCCACTCTCTCTGTGGCCCACAATCCCCAGCATCCCACCTCTGTTGCTGGGAGGAGCCTAGGTGTGGAATAATTTGCCAGTAGCCCGGAATCCATTGCAGAAACTCCATAACATGGCTCCAGAAGCAAGGGTAGGAAGGGAAGAGGGTAGATACGACACTCCACAGTGAAAGCCAGTTTTGTTGCATAAGAAGGCCCTGTAGCCCCAAGT